GATGGAAATGCAAGATAAATCCCTAATTGTACTTCAATTTTATTTGAGTTGGGGTGAACGAAATGAGATTTGTGGAAAATGACGCCACTTCCCGTGTTAGCCGCTGGTCGTATCATACAGCCCATATTCCATTGCAGGTGATGGGCGACCGTTCGTGTTGAGATCCGCTGAGCTTCCTCGTACTCGTGGAGTTGAATTTGTGGCAGAAATTGCACTGAATTGCAGTCAAATGGTTGTGAATGAAACGAGATTTGTGGAAAATGACGCCACTTCCCGTGTTAGCCGCTGGTCGTATCATACAGACCATATTCCATTGCAGGTGATGGGCGAACGTTCGTGTTGAGATCCGCTGAGCTTCCTCGTACTCGTGGAGTTGAATTTGTGGCAGAAATTGCACTGAATTGCAGTCAAGTGGTTGTGAATGAAACGAGATTTGTGGAAAATGACGCCACTTCCCGTGTTAGCCGCTGGTCGTATCATACAGCCCATATTTCATTGCAGTTGATGGGCGAAAGTTCTTGTGGAGATCCGCTGAGCTTCCTCGTACTCGTGGAGTTGAATTTGTGGCAGAAATTGCACTGAAATTGCAGCCAAATGGTTGTGAATGAAACGAGATTTGTGGAAAATGAAGCCACTTCCCGTGTTAGCCACTGGTCGTATCATACAGCCCATATTCCATTGCAGGTGATGGGCGAAAGTTCTTGTGGAGATCCGCTGAGCTTCCTCGTACTCGTGGAGTTATGAATTTGTGTCAGAAATTGCACTGAAATTGCAGTCGAGTGGACTTCTGTGCGTGTGTTGTGAGTGAATCGCAACGGCTCCCTTCCTTCAGCATCGTCAAAACGCAACATAGAGCATTATTACGCACTCGTTCCATGATTCATGATATTGCCTGGATTCTTTTTTAAAAAACAATCAATGTGTGTTCCCTATCTATCTACGTTGTGCATGGTTGCAGGTCGTTATTTATAAATCTTGATAATTTCAACACTTTTCTACTCGTATACTGAGTACGCGGTGACTTTAGCCGTTTAGGAAACGGAAAGCTCAGCCTCCAGGTTGGCCAGAAAGGTTCTCAGTGAATCTAACCGAAGTCTTGGCGAGTGTACAAAAGGTAAACCTATCATTTGTACTTCATAACGGAATTGTGCACAAAATGCGCACACACGCACGCGAGCGCACACACAAACACTGTACAAACACACACAAAAGTACAAGCACATGTGCACATACACACGCCCCCCCCCCCCCCCCACGGCCACACACACACACACTCCAATCCCCACCCCCTGTACCATGTGTACTGAGTCTGACAGACAGACACACAATCATGTTTATGGTTCCTTCGCCACCAGTTTCGGATATGGTGTCAACAACGAGTTGTAAAATATTGGTATTTTAGGACTCCCTGCCCTGAAGACGAGCACAGCGCCGTGGATCGAGCAGATCCGGCCGCGCCGGCCTAGCGTGCTTCACTTTCTGGCCGAGGCAAACATCGTCCGCGTGCGCGCATCCCGTGTCCTCTCCCGGGCTTTTACGACTCCCTGGTTCACACCCAGGCATAGACAAGGTATACGACGTAGGACCATTCACACGAACAACACGAAACGGACCGGACCAATAACGGTGGAACTTGGCAGACTCGCCGGCATGAATCACCTTATCATGCAGCCAGACTAAATCGCCAACGACAAATGAAGCACCACTGCAGTGAGCATCATACACTGACTTCTGGTGACGATGGACAGCAGCTAATTGAACACGAGCAAGAGAATGAGCCTGAGCTAACCGATCACGTACGAGCTGAACATAGGCAAATGGGGAGAGCTCGGGAGGATCAGGAGGAGGAAAGACCAGATCAACAGGCAGGCGAAGCTCAGCACCATACAACAAACGGGAAGGCGTAAAACCAGTACTACTGTGTACAGCAGCACGGTAGGCGAGAAGAACAAGCGGAAGGTGAATATCCCAATGGACATCTGTAGGGCCAACAAAAGCCTTCAGGTGATGGATTAACGTACGATTGAGGCGTTCAACAAGTCCATTGCCCTCGGGGTGGTAACTGGTTGTGCGGGATTTCCGGATGCCAAGGATGGTGCACAACGACTGGAACAACCGAGTTTCGAACTGAGAGCCTTGGTCAGAGTGGAGGCGACGTGGCGCTCCAAAGCGAGACACCCAACCATGAACAAATGCCAGAGCGACAGCCTCAGCAGTAATGGCAGACAAAGGAACGGCTTCAGCCCAGCGAGTGAAGTCGTCGACGATGACAAGGACATACCTGTTACCGGTTGGAGTCACAGGAAGCGGACCAACGATATCCAATGCGACAAACTCAAACGGAAAACCAGCAGCCATGGACTGCAACGGAGCACGGTGCACTGGATTCTTAGAAGCCAACTGAGCACAAGTCGGACAACTCTGCACATAAATCTGGACATCGGATGCCATACCCTGCCAAAAGAAACGTTGACGGGCCAGATGTAACGTTTTCTCAATGCCAAAGTGACCAGCACTGGGCAGAGAATGAACAGGCGCGAGCGCAGCAGACTGCAAAACGACAGGGACAATCAGAACAGGATGTTCGACATCAACATCATGAGCGAACGGGGGATCAAGATACAACACCTTATCGATAAGACGCAACTGAGAAACAGAAGACCAAAGGAATTTCTGAAGACGGCTGAAGGGACGGACATCCTCTTCAGGTGGACGGACAAATTTCCCACTGGCAGCATCGTACCAAGATAAAACCGCAGCGAGATCAGGATCAGCAGACTGGGCACTCAGAATATCCTGCGGCCGAAAACAATCAGGCGGCGGATCAGGAGAACTGACGAAAGTGGCTCCAGCAACTGGCACTTCAGCAGCAGCTGACAGCGGAACATCACGGGCAATAGGCGGCGGACTCGGCGGAGGCGACGGCACATCGGTCACCACGCGGGACATAGCATCGGCATTCCTGTGTCGAGAACCAGGGCGGTGCACAACAGCAAACTCGAATTCGGCCAAAGCCTCAATCCATCGAGCTTTGCGACCACGGGCTCCTTGGTTGCCCGCAACGCAGTTAACGCGGTATTGTCTGTCCTTGCAGTGAATTCGCGACCAAGCAGATAATGCCGGAAGTGGTTGGCGAAAAAGACAAGGGCCAGGGCTTCGCGGTCACTGGCGTCATAGTTACGCTCCGCTTTCGACATTATGCGCCCACCAAACGCAATGGGGCGTTCCACCTGGTCCTGTACCTGGCTCAGGACACCACCAATGGACACTTTCGAGGCATCTGTGTCCAGAAGGAAGGGACCGGCATCTGGTCCGAAGTCCGGGAATGCCATAACCGGAGCACTCGACAGCGCAGACTTCAGTGCTCGGAAGGAAGCGTCGCAAGCTTTCGACCAAACAAATTGCGCATTCTTGCCAGTGAGAGCCGTCAGCGGGGCAGACCGCTGCGCAAATCCACGGATGAATCGACGGTAATATCCTGCGAAACCAAGGAATGACCTGACCGCAGTGACAGACTTCGGCGTCTTCCACGCAAGTATCGCGGAAACCTTGTCCGGATCCGGGGCAATTCCGTCTGCCGACACGCGGTGCCCGAGGAACGCGACGTCCGACCGGAAAAAGGAACACTTTGCCAAGTTAAAACGCAGGCCTGCTGAACGCACACGCTCAAAGACTCGCGACAAAATCAACACCTGGCCAGACAATGTTTCACTCGCATTTAAAACATCGTCAAAGAAGACACGACAAAATGGCTGAGCTGCAGCATTACACAGCCCACGAAGAACAGCTTCCATAACTCGCTGGAAGGTGGCAGGACCATTCCTGCACCCCATCGGCAGCACTGTAAACTCATACAGGCCCAATGGTGTTGTAAACGCGGTCTTCGCTCGGTCGTCAGGATCCATCGCAATCTGCCAATACCCAGACGCGAGATCGAGCGACGAAAACCACTTACAACCAGACAGCAAATCAAGCATGTCATCCACCCGTGGAATCGGATAGGCGTCCGGCTTCGTGACACCGTTTAACTTACGATAGTCAACGCAAAGTCGTAAGGACCTTCTTAGGAACCAACACGATCGGAGACGCCCACGGACTGATAGACTCTTGGATGATACCCTTCTCTAGTAACTCATCCAATAACGTCTGCAGAGCAACGCGACGGTGATACGGAATGCGCCGAGCTGCTTGTTTAATAGGAGTATGTGTGCTTGTATCAATTTTATGCGGAAACATATCACAATAGCCATAGTCGTCTTCATGCAATATAAATAGGTAGTGATTATCAATAAGGAGTGTGGTGAGCATGCTTTTGGTTTTGGATGAGAGGTTTTGTTGTGATTTAACGTATTCATTAATGGTAGCCTTGCGCTGTTCTGTGAGTTCAGGTGTGTGATCAGTGGTGACGGATGAAACGGCGGCGTCATCTTCATCATCATCATCCATAATGAGAGGAGACAGTTCGGCAATATTGGTGTTTTTATGTATAATAATATTATGCTCAGCATGATTCTCAATTGTCATGACAATGTGTGCGTGATCGGGACCCACTGTTACAAGTGCAGGTGTCACCGACAACGTAGGAAACTTATCCACAAACGACTCTAGTGGATCAGCAACACAATCCAGAGTTTCCGAACAAGCATCCACATAGACACATGGTACTAGCACAACATGGCCAGCAGGCACAGACAGCTCATCGTCAAGGGCAACACGAGAAGAATACGACGAAACAGGTACATCGTCGGAGCATGCATCAGATTCAGAATGAGGAGTATGAGTATGACATGAGGAGGAAGTATTACGCGGAACAATACGATCATAGGGCGTACGTGACGGAGGACACCCGGAACCAGAAACATGGAACGGAACAGACACATCGCCAAACATCACAACACCACGAGCAATATCTAATACACCACCATGCTGCAACAAAAAATCGGAACCAAGAATCATGTCGCAGTGAATACCAGGAGAGACAACAACTGCGTGCTGGAAAGACAGATTTCCTAGCGACATACACAGATCCATGGATCCAACGACAGGAAGTTGTGCGCCATTGACTGCACACAACCGCGGAGCAGACTCTAGAGGAGGTCGCTCTGTCAAATTAGGCAACAATTTAGAATGTACTAACGACACACTTGAACCAGAATCAACAAGAGCAACAACAGGAGACGAAGACGAAGACGAAAGACAAACATCAACGTGCACAATAATGGGTGAGATCGCACCACATACCTCCTCGAGGGGCTCCACTCGGACGACTGACGGCGGCCCCGTGTCACCAGTCCAACCTAGTTTTTTGTGTGCGGGCAAGATGCAATGAAGTGGCCCTCTTCACCACATCCATGGCACACTCTACGCACAGGCCTTGTAGCAAAACTCTGGCCACGACCACGGCTAAGCGCACCAGCACCAGCACCACGAGCAACAAAACGTACATGGTCTTGCTGGGGTCGGGTGGGGCGATACAGACTCACGCTTTCCATTTTCGCCTCCAAAGCAGAGAGACGCGAATCAAAACTCGACAAAAGCGAAGCCAACTGGTCTCGCTCAGATTCCGATTTCAGTGGACCGACTGCTGCGTAGGTGTCACGACCATGAGCAGTGCGACGGGGCTTCACTTCCGGAGCAGCAGCAAATACGGGCTGTGCGTACTGGTGAGGTACGGTGCGGGCCTGCTCGCGAGCATAAATAGCACCTACCTCGATGGCCTTTTGGACCGCCGTGTCCAAATCAGTGGGCCGAGGTGACGCCAACGCCAAGCGCAAATCCTTCGATGCCTGGCCATCAATAAAAAGTTGCAAAAGCATTGAATCAAGCAGTGCACCTTGTTGTCCTTAGTCAGTTGGCCGGTTTCTCAAAAAGTGCTCGTTTCTGATTTCCTGTGTCGATTTGAGTCCAACATTTCGTGGGTGGTTGGACGTGTTGGAGATCGGCAGGGCAAACAATTTCGCGCTTGGGTGCCTTTTCTGCGTTGGGGCTGAAGGGAGTTACGGCGACTTGTTTGAATACGAAGACGAACACTGTGCAAATTAAGCGCATGCTCAAAACACGCATATGGGAATTCTGCGCAAGTGAAAAGGATGATGACGTCCGCCCACGACTAAATTTCAAACTTACTTGACTGGTTCGACAATTGTGTTTTTGTTTTCATCCAATTCCGATCGCATGGCCTCTCTAAGTTTCTTTGCCGATCTGTCCGACAACCTAGACAGGTAGATGGCAGATAAGAAGGTGCAAGTGTTTATGATTCCTGTTGTTAGTTGTCTTGTTCGACATGGCAGACGATTTGGGGCTGGAAACTGTTTCCTTGGCGAAAGCTTCAGGTGAAGGAGTGAAATGCATTTGTCACAACCCGAATTTTCCTGCTCATCAGCCTCTCAAGCGCTTGACGGAGACTACCTGGACTACCCTATGGAATGCAGCTGAGACGAAGAGAGATGACACTTGGATGTCGATCGGAAATCTTGATAGAGAAACTTGCGGCGAAGTTCTATACCGCAAAGCCTGTTTCAAGTGGTACACAAACAAAAAGACTTTGAAGAAGACAGCCGTTGCTGAGTCTGTCCGGCCCGTCGAGGCTGTTGGTGGCGACGAAGGCAGTGAAGGTGATGATGATGACAGTGATGACAGCGAGCCTGAGCAAAGAGATGTTGAGCCCCCCAAAAAGCGGACCCGTTCCAGTGGGAGCCAGACAGATTAAAATTTGTGCCTATTCTGCCAGCACCTGTCAAGAAGAAGAAGTGGGAAAAAGGAGCCACTGACCCAATGCATATCGTTCAGTGCGAGCAATAACATCGTCAATGCTGCAACAATTCGCAGTGACTCGCGGGTCTTGAGGGAGGTGTCTGGTGGAGATGCAATCGCCAGGGAAATCAAGTATCACCGCTCGTGCCTGGCCAACTACACTCACAAGAGGACACTCGAGGGCCTGACGAAGCCCACAGTGTCCACTACAGCACCGTCCCTGGGTCATACTGACAGCTTCGGTGCAGCATTTGCCCAGCTGACCATGTCTGTGCAGACACTTGTCCTATCTCAAAGTAAGGTAGACGTCGGTGCTTGTGTGAGCATGGCCAGCATGCGCCGGAAGTATGCCACCCTCCTGTCTTCCATTGGCGTCAACGACCCACCCAGGTGGCGTTTATTTGCTCTGAAACAGCTGCTAGTTGATTATTTCCAGGAACAGATCTTGTTCTTCAGCTGTCCAAGCCGACCAACTGCCGGGGAATTTGTGATTTCCTCTGCGCTCCCCAAGGCCTTGCTTCTATCCGTGTGTGCCAAGAGCCTTGTAGGACCTACAGAGGATAAAGACGGTCAGGAACTTGACATTGAGGATATGGCAGACCATAGTCGTGTTGGTGTGCAAGCCATTGCTGAGCTTGAGATGCGTCACACAGCACTCCATTTGCGCCACACCATCCAGCCACTGGAAACACGTGGCGCTGCCGTGCCGACTGCCGAGAGCCTCCAAGCTGAGGCAACTCCAATTCCTGGTGACCTCTACAAGTTCCTATGTCTTCTTATTACTGGTAAGCATCTACCCTAGCCACTCACTATAATCTTCTCATTGTGGATCTTAGTGTTTGACTTGTATGCCCTCCCCTTCCTCTGCTCCCCCCCCCCCCCCCACCCCCTGGCAGTAACTGCCTGGGACTTTTCCCAACTGCAGTGGTAGCATTTGATTGCACAGACATTGTGCTGTCCATGTCAGAAGATGTGCACATAACGTGCACATAGTGGACCGTAGAAATGTGAGAAAAACGAGCACACTCCGATTGTGCAGTGACGTATGTACAGTGTGTGTAGTCTGTGCACGTGTAATAATCGGACATACGTAGCAGAAAAGTGAATATGTAATACAAAAGTAGTTTTGCATGATGTTGGATATCAGGAAGTCAATATTGTGGAGGTCTTATTAACTCATTGTTATGGCTTGTGTGTTTCTAATGTTCACAGGGAAGGAACTTCCGGCTGAATTGCACAACCGGCAACATCTCAGAACACACTGTCGCGCCCAGTCTCTAGCACAGGATGTCATATTTTGTGCGTCCGCCGGTCGTGTGTGTCCAACTGCGTTCAACCAAGTGTAGCTGGCAGTCCCCAACAGAGCATTCCAGGTCAACCACTTCCATCGTGCTTTTCGACAGCGCGCCTCAGTATGTTCGCTGTGCACTTGTACCTGGTCATGTTCCATGCTATTTCTACTGTTTGCCTGTACAGGTTATGCCAGCATACTTACTAGTCCTACCGATACTGTCACTGCAAGTAACTAGGTTATAAGTCACCCGTGCACGACAACCTAGTATAGCAGTCACTGACTCCTCTCTCCACAGTGAATGGCTACACTGCATTGCCTAGACGCATCCCAAAGCCTCTCATTGTGTATTTTAAATATTATTTCTAATGCTCGGGTTTTCTCTTGTGACCCGCGACGCCAGGCATGAAGTCATGCTCCTTGCTATATACATGTATCTCGCGGCCGTAACTTGTTAACAGAGTGTTACTGACACTCAGTGCCAACTGCTGCAATTGCAGCTCAAATGCAAACACTGTATGTGTACGTGTTGCTGCGCATTGGTCTCTGCCTTGAGAATTCTTATCATTTTGGTGTATTTTTAATAACAGGCGTGGGCCATCCCGTGATTTCTTAGGTGCCGGTTTTAAACATTTGCTGTGTACTTTTTATAATCACCAAATGTTCCATGACTGAGGACACCTATGATATCAAGAACAGTGTACTAAGACACTTGCTTATCTGAGGTAGACAGGCTTGATTGTGTTATAACGAGATGATTGTTTGATGGCAGTAAGGCGGTTTCCAACTGTACTTCGTGATTTGCCGATTTGTCATGCCACACTGAGTGCTCGGGCATCATCACGGACTCATACTACCAAACTATAAAATCCTGGCATACATTATGGAACTTTGAATCTAGTAATGGAACTCTGCAATAGTATAAACTAATCACAGGAGTAACTTTCTACTGTACATACCTGATTGTGCTCTAGTGTGTAGCTAGCTTTGAACCAAAAATAGTATGATATTAATATTTTCAGGAACCTGAAGAGGTCTATACAGTCCACATCATCCTATCATCAAACATTCAATGTATCTGCGTGCCTGGTGTACTTTACAGTCACATAGGCAACTCGGAAAGTCGACAATACGACGTAAATTCTGCCAGTCTTTGAATGAGTCAGCGCCGTTACCATGGTTACATAATCTAAATTGTACAGGAAATTGGACACGCAGTATTCCACTCGCCGCTCCCTTATGCCCCAGCTCCGAGATGGCACCCTAGTGCCAAAACACTCCTAGAGACCCACTCTATCAGCTAGGATAGCGCTAGAAATGTTGGACTCAAATGTACACAGGACTTTTGAAAATTGAAAGTGCCCAAGCGACTACCTGGGTAGGCTCGACGAGCGAGCCGACGAAGTTCCGTGGCATACCCGTGCTGAGTTTCACTCGCCAGCTTCACTCGCTGGCGAAGACTGGCCTCGTGCATCAATGCTTGCTGGGGCGGCTCAAGACGGACATGCAGAGCCTCGACTGTGTCAGAAAAGTTCATGTCAGGCGTGTGAGTTAGAATTTCGGTGAACATCTCATGAGCTGTACCAACAAGGCGAGCAGGTAGTAGCCGTAGCTTTTGTTCGTCGTCGTACCCACTCAGCTCGCATGTGTGGACGAAATGCCTCATGTACGTGGTGAAATCATGGCCTGGCTGATTTCCGAATGTCTCAGGAAGCAAAACTGGCTTCGGCAGTGGACGTGCATGTGGTGTGTCTGTGTCCGGCAAGCGAAAACGATGGGACAACCCGTGTACCGGCGAACTCTCGCGCTCTTCAGTAATGTTCATGTCACAGCCAGCTTCCGCGAAGCTACGCTCTAACTAACTTTTCTTGTCTCTTGGACTTCGAATTCGCTGAACGGCCCATTGTGAAAAAAAATTGTTTTAGTATTTTTGAATTTTCGAAAAAAATTATCTGCAAAAATTTCCCGTGGACTCGATCGACGCCTCGATCAACTATCGATCTAAATCTATTACGTAGCCTATCGTGTGTAGCGGCAAACAACTAAATTTGGCAGAGACAATTCCAAATAGGCAACTACTCGTACTCTATGTACGGACACAGTGTAGCTAGACTATACTACCCAGCTAGCAGATATCCTAACAACAGACACTAGACAGCAGTCAGTATGCAATCATGCACAAAACACGGACACAGAAAATGTTCCGAAAATGTTTGGCCAGACAGGTTGGCGCCAATGCTTGACCTATGGACTGTAAACCATGGTAAACAATGCATGCAACAAGAAAACGACGAGCAGAAAGGAAAATATCGACGAAGAGATCGAGAGTGGATGAGGATATGGTTTCACTTGCGTGGGCCTTCGTGGTTCTTCATAGTCGGCGATCTCCGAAGGCGTACATACTCCGCCAGCGATGTAGTGGTGGACGTTTTCCGCTGCCACCAGTGTTAGCTGCTCCCGGCTAATGATGCCCCCTCACACCGGAACACAAGGGTATTATGATTGGATAATTAGAAGTATTCGATAAGAGTGTAAACAGAAGGAGAACAGGACAACGACAACTCAAGACAGACTAGAACAGAACTGGAGCATGCGCTCTTCTATGTGAGTGGCTCATTGCCAAGGGGAACGAGCGGGAAATACGAATAGTGAGTATTCAGGTCGTGGCATAAATACACCTATTACAGTAGATCACAAACGATTTGATATCGCACAAATTGATCTCAGCATCGTGCGTACGGTATTATATAATTCAGAAAATCCCAAAGTGTCTCTGTGTGGCCGTCCTATGCCACGAGAAACTCCAATCAGGCTCCTATGTCCTCTGCCTTCATGATTGAATGTCCACTTCGTTTGAACAACGAACACAACAATCGAGGACGGCTTTGCAATGAAAAATACAGCTATACTGGAGCTGAAAAAAAGAAGAAAAAAACGTGCTCAGGATGAGACTCGAGTACACGCATACTCTCCCAGCAGGTGAAACGCAAATTTTTGTGAAAAATGCGTGTCGCCGACTGACCAGTAATTTCGCCTGACGTGGCAGCCCGGGGAGTTGCTGGGAATGTATTCTTCCCTGATGCCATGGTGAATCTATCTTTGTCAATGTCAGGTGAGTGATGAGGTGCCTTGGCTCAGGTCAATTTGTGTTTATTTCATCTGGTTTGACACCAGAGGAAAGCAACAGCCTAATCAAAAAAGGCATGGTCCTGGGAAGGCTGCCACTCAGCTGTATAGAACATACTCGAGACACATCTAACAGGTATACATACACACAGGATTGAATGATTCCGGAACGCCAAAAACTGCATCCACTCGCCAGCTGGTGTTGGGGCTGCTGGGGTGGCAACATCCTCTGTAGAAGGTGATGTGCATCTCGACAATGCATATTGTACAGGTGGCAAAAGTAGGTTCCCTCACCGATTAGGCGATGGCCACCCCATTGGATGAGTTGAACCAGAGTGGTTTGTGCAGGGCGCATTCAAACGGCCATGCCATTCTCCAGGACCGGGGGATTCTTGTAGATCACACAATGGCACCTGGAGTCCACCACTCAAGAGGTTTTCAAGATGAAGCCGAGATGCTGCGATTCTCGAAGTGCCAACGTGGAACCATATACCAGATCTCTTCAAAACATTGGACTTACGAGCACGTCTGATGTGACGCAAGTAACTCATTAAATGTTTTCCAGGCTGATGAAGCAAAGGACAACTGCTCATTATGTTGATAGGACAAAACTTAGGCTCTTCAATAACATTCATAATACTCTAATGGTTATGCGAGTAAACTTCTGTACCTTTTCCTCAGGTGATATACAAGGAAGAGCAAACAAGAACAAATACAATGAATTATGTACAGCGATGAGGTGATAAAACCGGGTCAAAGTAGAATAGCTAAAAACAACGGTGATAAATGCATGACCAATATACATCATGCATATCCATAATTGCGCGCGATGTGAGCCTGGAAGCCCCGTTCATTAGTTCTGGAAGCGTGCCTGTCCGCCCCTGTGGTGAGCGAGTGGGTTAACAAGCTGCATGGATCGGCTGCCCATGTACGCGTTGTTGTGGAGAGAGAGTTGTCTGCATCGAGCTCTCCACAACCACGCAGCAGCAAACAGTCAGCCTACATTCTCGGTGATGCAGTACTGTTCCTACGCCCCGGGTGTCACCAGAAGCTGCTCCCGCCATTTGAGCCTGGCTGGAAAGTGGAGAAGAGTGTGTCACCATCAACCGTTGTGATCAGCCATGTCAATGACGCAGAGACAGTGGTCAACATTGACTGCTGAAGCTAGACTGAGCTCCTGTATTACCGAACACTGAGGATGTAAAGGGAGGGGTGACTTGAATTGCCTTACATTACTACTGATGTCCACAGCGCTTAGCCGAGTCCTGCCAAGAGTGACAGTAAGCCGTCACCCTGGAATTTGATGGCGGAGACATTGACTTGGTCCCACCCTATAATCTCCATGCCCCAGCTATCCGTCGATGCCCAGTGCGATATTGTTCCTGATTAGTGGCGTCTAGAGGGAGAGGTGTAATAGGTTGGCCAAGTAACTGTCAATGCCATCTCATCTCTCTCTCTCTCTCTCTTTCTCTCTCTCGCTCTCTCTCTCTCTCTCTCTCTCTCTCTCTCTCTCTCTCTCTCTCTTTCCCTCTCTCTATTCCTTTTTTGATAACACACATATTTGCGGTTGATCACTACGTGTCAATTCTTCTTGAGCTTTGTATTATTAATTCGCACTGTGTTCGTGACAGTATTCCATTTTCCGGTACTATTGTGCGTGCACACGATGACGTAGGTCGCCATTTTGTACGTGTCATCTTGGTGCGCAAGCCTTTATCCTTCTTCTCTAGCTCTTTTAGTTTTAGTCCTTTTTGTGCAAAAGCAAGTAACTTGTCCAATGTCGAGTGGGCTGTGAGTGTTGCATGTTGGCCAGTGTAGACGGGGTATTTCACAACAACCACCAACCAGCATTGGCCTCACTTGTTCCTGCTCATTACAAGTCAGCTATGGTTCCTCATTAACCAGCTGCTGTCCATAGCTTGGTATTTCACTTCTCAACTATTGTAAGTGTATTGTGGGGATTCCCGAGTTGGTTGCAGGCAGCAGTGTGGCGTTGCTTTCAAGCTTGTTGAACATTTGCATTACAATACAAGTTACTCAAAGCAGCATACTGTCTCCCAAAAAGGTCGTTATTGTCTGGGATAAGTTTGAGGGTGTGAGGTATAGGGTAAGAATTTACAAATAGCCTCAAAAATACGCCCAACCCTCTGCTGCCACTGAGAGCCAATTCATAATCTCAGAACATATGCTTTCAATGAACAAAAAAAAACGTCGCATCGATGCCATTAACCAGTTTTCTCCCCATGTGGGTTGGTAGATTGTTTTTGTTCAGGACAAGAAAGTACGCCACTTAAAAGTGAACCAACCAAGTTTGGCTGGGACTTCTTTGTGCAGATTTACACAAACCACCATTACTGTACGGGTTACGCACAAGGACATGACTGATTGAGCTGTCCAACTATCTTACCCACCACTGGAAAGTGTAACATTTTGCAGGTGTATAACATACCAAAGATCTCCAATCTAGTAGTCGGTTGCTTTACAGAACCACAATGGTGTTCAGTGCAATTTCACATGAAACACATACACCAAATCTCATTGAGACATTGGACTTATAAGTACTTTTGAGGTGACGCAAGGAACTCAATAGTGTTGTCTAGGCTGTTGAACGAAGTAACGGTGAGGCATCCTGCAGCTTCATAACTCGAAGAGAATTGGTGAGCACACATGCTCATTCCCTGGGCACTGCAAATTCACAACACATTTCATTTCAAAAAATCATTTTCAACGTTTCGGCAAATTGCCATCATCAGGACGCAATATGAAGTGGAAGTCTGCCCAGGAGCAGTTATATACACTAATTGTGTGTTCTTAGGTGTTGATAATATTTCTATAACTACACATGTTACCTCAGTACTAGGAATATGACATGTCTAAAACTAATGAAAGATCCCAAGTTTTCACTGACTAATATGCTGGGGATAGGTAACAAGTTAGCACAGCGCAGATGTCACCAGATAACTTGGAAAATATCAAAAAGTATTCTTTCTAGACCAAAGAGTGGTATATTTGATAACATTTAATTATTAAATGTTATCAAATATACCACTCTTTGGTCTAGAAAGAATACTTTTTGATATTACAATGAGAGTGAATAATCAACGGCTTGTCCACCAACTCTTTAACTTGGAAAATGTCTGAACAGGTTTCTCGCAAGAAATAGACGAATGTGACCATGTCAGTGTTTTCCCGGGTCATAATTCCTAGTACTGAGGTAACATGTGTTGTCATAGAAATATTATCAACACCTAAGAACACCAAATTTTTGTAAATAACTGCTCCTGGGCAGACTTCCACTTCATATTGAAGCTGCAGGATGCCTCACCGCTACTTCGTTCGTGGTTCTCCTCTTCCCAGAGCGAGGCACTGTGGCGCTATGTGCAATGGGCATGGAAGTTGCAAAGGAGCGATTGTCAGTTGTCATTTCTGCTACAATGCCGGAAGGGATTTGATTCCGCGATTTATAACCCAGTGCACCCAACAGCCAAGGTATTCCAGGCAAAAGCAAGTCTGCCAAAGAAGAAGACACCAGTACTGCCTTCGCCTTCTGCGCGACGCCATAGAACACAAGTGTGCAGAGAAGGACTTTCGCTTCAGACAGAGCACGCACTTTCGGGACAAGCTCTGGTCATTCTCTCGGGAGGACAACATAAGGATCCGTACCAAAAAGCGTTGCGTAGCCACAGAGGAGTGCATCGATATGAATGCAAGGCTAGCCCGGAAGCTTGGCACGCTTCATGCAGAAGCTGGCCAGCAAGAGCATGAAATTACGCAAGCCGCAATCACAAGCCCAGCTTGGTGCTCGGACAAGTAGTGCGGCGACATGTGATGGATCCAGTGCCCACCGGGCATTGGTTGTGGATGATTGTGTGCCGGAAAGCACCAGGCGGATTTTGGAGCTTTGTTCCTTCGACAGGCACGTTTACGGATCGTGAGCGTTCGGAGGTGATTACGTCTGTCGAGCGGATGGCCTACACGTTGCGCTGGCAGCAGGCCCAGCCTCAACAGGTGGAGGTTCCAGACAACGAGACTGCTTCTGACACAGTGGGCGACAGAAAACTCTGGAAGCTCAAGCAGCGTGGGTTTAAACAACCCCCGAAAATGTGTGACGATGAGGAAAGGAAGCTTGCGAATTTCAAGGACGATGTTCTTGCTGCCTACACCAAAACAAAAACTCTACCTGGAGAAGGCAGACGCATTGCTATCGGATAGCGCTATGTACAAAAAGGTTGACATAACAATAACCGAGTTCGAGTCTCGGGTGAAAGCTGTCGTTGGGGACAAATGCAAGAACATGGATTCCAAGCTGTTGAAGTCGATTCGCCCCAATAATACAAGATTCCCCGAGTTCTATGTTCTTCCAAAGGATCATAAGCAGAACCTACCCCTAGAGCCTCATCATTAATGCAAGAGAAGTAGCAAGGAAACCCAAGCGTCACTGCCGAGGTAATCCGTGTTGTGCGTTTTGAAGCTGCCATATAAGTCGGACGGGGTGCATCACAGCGTCAGCAAAGCTATCCGGAAGCACAAGTTACCAGTCCGGGTGGCTTACGAGCATGCCGGTAGCCTCAAACGTCAGCTCAGTCATTCAGCACAAAGTCCGCCCAGCTGCATTAAGGAGCCCAACATCAGAAAGACGAAGAGAAGAGGACGCCCAGTGGGACCGTGTCTGACTTGTAAGTTGGGTGGAGTAAAAATATGTTTGAGGAGGAATGTAATATACCGTCTGCAATGCAAGTTGTGCAGGGAAAAATACATCGGAGAGACGGGTCGCACACTGGAGACGAGACTGGAGGAACAGAATGGTGAAGCTCGTAGACACACTGTGGATAAGCCAGCGGGTGACCACAGGCGAGCTAAACATGCAGGGATCAACCTGAGTGTCAGGAACAGCATCTTCTGGGCAGTGTCGGTGATTGCAAGAGCCAGTGACAGGGCAAGCCGCAAATTGCGGGAGGCAGTGGAGATCAGAAACGAAGGCCCAGAGATCAACACCAGTGCTGGATGGTTATTACTCTAAAACAGTCACACCGCACCGGTTATCTAGGTGACAGTATTTTCGGGAGAATACTGACATGGTCACATTCGTCTATTGCTTGCGAGAAACCTGTTCAGACATTTCTCAAGTTATCTGGTGACATCTGTGCTGTGCTAACTTATTACCAACACCCAGCATATGAGTCAGTGAAAACTTGGGATCTTTCACTAGTTTTAGACATGTCATATTCCTAGCACTGAGGTAACATGTGTAGTCATAGAAATATTATCAACACCTAAGAACACCAAATTAGTGTATATAACTGCTCCTGGGCAGACTTCCACTTCATATTGCATCCTGATGATGGCAATTTGCCGAAACATTGATAATGATTCTTTGAAATGAAATGTGTTGTGAATTTGCAGTGCCCAGGGAATGAGCATGGGTGCTCGCCAATTTTCTTCTAGGCTGTTGAAGATCGTGAAAACTGTTGTTCTTCTTGGAAAACGTTTTCCAGTTGTGCATTTTATTTTTGTGCGTACAACTGATGAACACAAGACCTGGTACACATGCACAGGACTTTGTACACCCATACAATCCTTCTTTTCTGTTCATAGACTAACAAGGATGCACCTGGGATATCCTGACTTACATTATCCTTTGGATCCAGCGAATGTCCAGAATTAAGAAGATATTCTGCTACGGAAACATGTCCACCCAATGCTGCACAGTGTAATAGTGTGTGACGACGCTGAAAGTAGCATTGTCAATGAATGCAAACCAAGTAGATACAAACACACACAACAGAACAACAAGGACAATCAAGGCTTGTTTGCTGTACAAACACACATAACATACACAAATACACACATACACATACCGATTCCCACACACATAAATTAATACGCATATGCATGAAAACACACACGCATGCTCATGCACATACACACACACACACACACACACACACACACACGCACACACATACTACTACTACTACTACTACTAATGTAGCTTGGTTGCCACAAGGGCCACACCACTCCGAAAGGAGCCAGAGTCATTGTCAGGAGCAGAAACGGAGATGACGACTCAGGTCACTCTGTCGACGGAACTGACGGCTGTAGCGAGAACAGCGAACACCATACGACGCTCTATCAGACTTGGTTGCTCGATGGCCACGGTCGCACTTGTGACGTCTGAAACCAGGCACTGACTTGAACTGCCGATTGCATGTCACACACAAGAGAGAAGCTGGGACGTTGAGCGGAATAGGTGATGCCGGCGCGGACGCTTCCGATGGTTCCAGGGGCAAACAATGATGTACACGCAAGCCACCACGAGAGTGAAACCACCTCCTGCATGTACCACACTGCACAGCACCACGCTGTTCCTGGATGGGGAGACTTCGTTCTGCGGTACACTTGTGTCTTGCTTTGTCACCTGGCCGACGAAACGAACGGTGGCAGATAAGACAGTCCACCCGTTGAGATTGGTCATGGGAAGGACCGCCGAGGCTCGGCCCAACGGCAGACACCCGCCAGGCAGATCGATCCTGAGCAATCCCATACCAAGCTAGATGTTCAATGCCGATGTGCCGAAGATCAGCCGAAATCACATCCCTCCAGCGACGACGGGGACCACACGCAGGCCGAGGCGACGGTAGGAAGCCAAACAACAGCTGCTTGGGCACACGAACATCCGACATGCGGGCCACATGGCCAAGCCATTCAAGCCTCCGCTTCCGAAGCCGGGAGGACAATAGCGATGGATCACCCCACATCTCTCGGAGCTGCTCATTGGTGATGCGTTCCTCCCACTGTTGTGTTCGCGAAACACACAAGATGCTACGGATGCATTGGTGGTGGAAACTATCGAGGCGCCGGAGGTCACCCTGCAAAGGGCACCAGCACTCCGAAGCATACAGTAGCACTGTCATCACACAGGCGTTATACAATCGGCGCTTCACATGGAGTGAAAGATCACGATTAGCAAACACATCCTGGAGCGATCCAAAGGCACGCGAGGCGAGTGACAAACGCCTCGAAACGTCTCCTGCAGAACGCGCATCCGGAGTGATGACAGAACCCAGATAAACGAAGGAGGAAACATTTTCCACCACCTGTCCATGAAGCGGAATGCCAGCAGTGTCAACTGAAGTAACACCAACACCAGCCACCATAAACTTGGTCTTGGGTATACTCACAGTGAGGCCAAATTCAGCAGAAACATCCTGGAACGCCGTCAAGGCCAACACAGCATGCTCCCGCGAACCAACTACAAAGTTTGCATCGTCCGCATACTCAACATCAACAACAGCGGTCTGCTGATAGGTACGGGTTCGTCGTGCTGGGTTGAATAACTGGCCATCCAAGCGATAGTGAAATTGGATGCCAATGTCTGGGTCACGATCAGCGAGAACAGACCGCCAACGTTCAACCACCAGAGCCAGATAGAGGTTAAAGAGGATTGGGGCCATTACACACCCCTGCCTCAGGCCGTTCTCCACACGAATTTCATCCGTGACACCTCCAGGCACACGCACCTCCGCCACCATGCCATCATGAAATGACTCAATGACCTTGAGGAGAGTCGGAGGAATACCAAGGACAGAAAGAGCACGATACAGTGCAGCCCTAGGCACAGAATCATATGCCTTTCTCAAGTCTACGAAGATACAAAATATTTTTGTACGATGCTCGTATGCCTTTTCCACCAGTTGCCGGACAGTAAACACCGCATCAGCACAGCCACGGTTGGGTCGAAATCCGCACTGAGACTCCGGGAGGAGATGCTCGGCCCTAGATTGAAGGCGGTTCTGTATCAAGCGACCAGCCATCTTGCCCACCACCTCCAAAAGAGAGATCCCACGCCAATTGTCACAGAGCGATAGATCTCCACGCTTTGGGATTGGCACCAGCTGGGCATTCCGCCACTCCTGAGGAACACCACCTGTGGACCAGACAGTCAAAAGCAAGGCCAGCAAACATTCATGCAGCTCACTGGAGCCATACTTCACAAGTTCGGGCAGGATCCCCGATGCGCCAGCTGCCTTGCCATTAGCCATTGCACGTATAGCTCGACCAACTTCCTCAGGAGATGGAGGGATGGCGAGCTCCTCGTCGATGGGCCTGACCTCCAGCGTACCGAAAACGTCCAAGTCATAGAGGCTCCTGATATTAAGGACGTTTGAAAAGTGTTCATACCACCTGGACGAGATGGCCTCCAACGACGTGCATACAATGCCATCGGTGTCCTGGATGGATTGCACCTTCATGGGTGTGATGCCCCCAAAGCATCGCTGAATCGCCCGAATGGCAGCCCAGGCACTCTTGGTATTAAACCGCTCAGCCTCCACGATGTCAGCTTGTTTACTGAGCCAGCTCTCCTTTGCGGAACGAACAGCCGCACGGGCCTCACCACGGGCCTCCCTGTAGGCAACCAAATCCGCCCGGGAACCAGAGTGACATTTCCGATACAAATCATTCCGGGCCTTCAGAATGGGCTCCAATGTGGCCGCACTCTGGACAAACCAGTCAGGACTGCTACGCCTCTCATGCCCGATTGCAGCCTTAGCTGATGACATTATAGCCTTCTTAATACAGGACCACTGCTCCTCGATGAGTCCGCCAGCATCAAAGTTCTCCAAGCGACCAGACAAACAGTGGCCATACTCCGCTCGGGTGCACTCGACTAACTCCCGCCTCTCGTCAGTCATACCTGGCACAGTCAGCAGCTCCTGAACCGCAAACCGCCGGTTCCTGCGCTTTTGATTCTGATTTCGGCCGGGCACAATCCTCCCCGGCAGGCAATACGTCATACACAAGAGATTGTGGTCAGTACTGCACTCTGCACCGCGAATCACATGGGTGTCCACAACATACTGCATTTGACTTACACGGACAAGTACATAATCAATACAATGCCAACGTTGGGATCTCGGGTGCCGCCACGTAGCCAGATGTATCATCCTCTTCCGGAAATGGGTGTTGCAGATGGTCAGGTTATTGCGTAACGAGAAATCCAACAACTCCATCCCAGCATCATTGCGCTCACCAATGCCAAAGCCTCCATGGACATCCCGCCACAAACCAGAAGACTGAGGCTCAACAGCAGAACCCACACGTGCATTGAAGTCCCCAAGGACGATCAAATGATCTGAGAGAGGAACAGCCATGACAGCCTGCTGCAAATCTGCATAGAATGCGTCCTTCACTGATCGACTGGCCCGGAACGTGGGTGCATAACAAACAACCAGATGTACCCACACAGAGGATCTCTCAGCAGAGCACTGCCGCTGGGTGCCAGTACACAGAGGAAACTTCAACTTACATGTCATAAGTCTGGACGAGACAGCACTCTGCTGCGAGCCTCCGCGCTCAAACGCCGCTCTGGCACGCCGCCTCAACAAGACGGCGACTCCTTCTCCACGAGTGAAATTCCCAGTCGGCAGAGGTCGACCCGACGATATAACCAACGCATCACCAACAGAGTACAACGCAGCGCCGAACCATTTCGTCTCCTGCAGTCCAATTGCCTCCAGACCCAAGCGCTCGGCCTCGCGGACTACAAAATTTATCTTTCTATCCTCGCTCACGCGCCCCCGACGAGCGGCAGTCTCGACAGAGCCGTCAGCATTGACAAGCGTTCGGACGTTCCACGTCGCAAAGCGGATATTCTTCGTCTTCGTCTCTCCGCTTCTGCCCCTGACACATGACTCGGGTCGCGTCGTAGCTAAAGAGATACACATCCGAGGGGTCGCCAACCCACTGCGAATGGCGGAGAGTGGACGACACAGCCGTGACAATATCAAAATAATATGTCCTGGCGACTGTGCCATGAACCCACTCCCCGATGAACCTGCCTAGTGCAGAACTAAGGACAACTCTGGAGGGCCCAGAGCTGCCCCGCTGGGCAAAGCCCATCTATGAAACGGTAAAGAAGACCAGATACGGAAGAGCTCAAAAAATTCAAACCGTCCTGCTCAAGAGCAAGACTCACACACACATACACACACACACACACACACACAAACACACACACAACTATGCATGCGCAAAACACACACACAAACACACACACACAAACAAACAAACACAGTTAGTGGGCAAAGGTAACAAAGGCAATGGCATAGAGATTTCTGGATCATTATCAATGAAGTTTTCTTTGGGAATTGATGAACAATTTCCTTGGAGACAAGAATGCAACTTTCAGTAGTATACTTTCATGCCTGATCATCAGGTGAAATACAGGCAGAATCCAATGAACAAGGCATGGCGCATGTTGTGTGTGAGTGTGCTACTCGGTTCAACCAGGTTCAACCAGGGTTGTATCAGGTGATTTTAAGGCCCTTGGTGTGCAAATTTTAGGAGATGAAGAATACTCGAATACTCGAATATTCGATCGGAGAAAATCAGAGTACTCGAACTCGGGATCTCAGTGCCAACTTTCACCCCTAATTTTTTCACATGCTCATAGAGACTGGGGCACTCTTCAACATAGAGCACTATTCAAGAGAGGGCTCTAATCGCGAAAGTACGGTAATCCTTCTTTTCTGCTCCTACACAAACAAGCATGCACCAGGGATATCCTGACTTACCGAATCTTTCGCTTCCAATGGATATCCAGCATTCAACAGCCATTCTAGTACGCCCACATGACCTCCGGATGCTGCAAAGTGGAGTGGTGTCCTACCAAACTGGAAGTGGCATCGTTAATGAATACAAACCATGCACACACAAACACACACAAACACATACATGCATACACATGCAGATTCATACACATGCACACATACACGCATGTGCGCGCGTGTGCATGCGCACACATGCACACAAGCGCGTGCACACACACACACACACACACACACACACACACATACATACACACACATATACATACACAAACACACACATATCTCATAAGTTCGCATTTTTTTCTAAACGTAAGGCATTTCGAAACGGGGGTGAGGGGGGGAGCGCCCTTTTCGAATAGAAAAATGACAGTTCGCACATTTTCTGGAAGTGTACAACACTGTGCTGTTCATGTGCTAGATCGCTTCAGATGACTGTGTTTACATGGTTTAGGTGTGGATCTACCTGTCTTTGCAGATCAGCTAACCCTTGCACTGTATGCATGCATGCAGGCTACTGAGAGGTGTCAAATGTCACACCAGCTTGATCAAACGGTGTACCTGGCCAGCTTTTTATACAGCAGTACAATGACATTGTACACTGTACATGCACAGCTGTTATGGAGGGGGAATTGGAGGAACTACATGTACGTTTATGTGTGTGTACATGACCATTGATGACTACACGTCATTGATTGTTCTTGTACTCAGTAATGAATAGTAATAGGTTGTTCATTTGACCACACGAGACCACACGACGCTTGCAGATCCCAGCACGAACAGTTCATCAGCCACACTCCACGAAAGCAAGTAGTAGTACTCCTGACAAGTCTTGTTTCGTTCCATAGAGATAATAACGGGGAACTCATCAGAGGAGAAGCAGTTGTTGAATGAAGGGGTTTAGCTGAAAAATGCTATTATTTTTATAGAAAAGATATTGGGAGACTGAAGTGTAAACACTCAACTAACTCACATATGTGACATATCAACACAAAAGGGAATAGTGCAGAATGGAGGTGTTCTGAACCCTACCAGACACAACTATCACAAGTGCTAAATCATTCACACTGAGAAGGAGAGGTACACAGGAATAGGTTGCGCTAGCTTACACGTCACAAATGGTACTGAGGTAGTGACAAAGATAGGTGAAAAGTAGACGCCAAGTGAAAGCCAACAAATCATCACGGACGTCTAACGTCACATCTGAATATATCTGAAGATGTTTTTCAGTAAAGAATGTAACTACTGGATGCACTACAGTACTTCACTAGCAAAACATTCATATCCATGTACATACCCAATGCTGTACACATGTACATACCATAGCATGAGGCATGGACACAGGTACAGTAGATCTACACAGAAAATGTGCAATAAGACCTTCAAATAGAGAGGGGGGGGGGGGGAGGTAGGGGGTAAAGTCTATTCGAAATGGGTTACGTTTGCAAAATTTAATAAAATGCGAACTTATGAGATGCTCCCTTAGTTAGTAAAGGCAACACCGGCACTGGCCTAGAGAGTTCCGCATCCTTATGGATGAAGAATTCATAGGGAATTGATGCCTTCTACAGTGAAACCTGTGACTAACAACCACCCCTTGGGGCCAGAGAAAGTGGTCTTTAGTGGCAGGTGGTCCTTAGTCACAGGTTTGCACCACCCAACCATGTATGAATGTGAGACCTTCCGTGCCTGGCGAAGTGGTCTTTAGTACCAGGCTGGTCGCTAGTCACGATGGTCTTTAGTACCAGGCTGGTGGCTAGTCACGGTGGTCTTTAGTTACAGGTTTTACTGTACTTAGCATCTGAGAAGGGTTGGTCTTCAATTAAGTTGGTTATGGGCTTTGAGCAGTATCAGCTCCAGTGCCGGTTCAGGCAGGTCAGCGAAACTGGGGGGAGGGGGGGGGGGCGTGGGGGGAGGGTGGGGGGGGTGGAGGCGGGTTACTTGGACCCGTTTCAAAAAAGAATTATTAACGAGAGAACTTGGAAGCTCAGGGCCATACACTATGCTTTTTTGCCTAGCTCATCATGCATGTTATTGGAACTGATGGAAATGTTTTTTCCATTGATTGGTTACATCATTGTTTTGCACAAACGATACAATCAGTTTGAATATGAGTTAGGCAAAAGTGATTGCAGAATTTATTGGGTTATATAAACTTTCTCTTTGCATTCGAGGGTAATACGACACCGTCTACCACCTTGCTGACCTAGGCAAAAAAGCATAGAGATGTTATGTATAGATGTTGTGTATAGAGATGTTATGTATTTTTTATATTTTTTTTTCAAGACATAACCAAGGATTCGAACCCGCATTATCGTCCGGTGTGCATTACCCCGATACACTTCGCTTACATACTCATTCTTCCAAGTTGCTTCACGTTATGATCTTGCATTTGAAAGCCCTATTTGAATATTGTGGCCAGCTGTCTTTGACCAAGGGCGTCACACACGGCACGACCACTACGACCATGGTCGTACCACTTTTCGTCCAGGATAGTCCGTCCAATTCATCGAAAAAAGCAATGAAAATAAAAGGATCTTCGGACTTGTACAAAACATCGCAACAAATTACTTTCATTGCAAGGAGGAGCATACAGACTTGATGCCTAGCACTAGCAGTTAGTTATTGCCCCAGACTCCAGGCGGCTATCCATTATGATAGGCGGTTGGAGTCACGGGTAGGACCAACCAGACGATGGATTCCTCACGAACGCATTCATTGACAACTTGACAGAAACAGAGCTGAGCTGGCGGCGATCACTGGGTCCAAAACTAACAATTTTCAAGATCTACCGTGTTGAAATGGCGATCAGCACGATCAAGAGACACTACATGTATGTCACTTGTCAGCTACAACATAATTATATTCTTTTCACAACGACACCTACCTAGCACCTCTGGCTCCTGACAATCTACTGCAAGCTGATGCGAAAATGCATTACACCCGCAAAAGCCGCTTGTCAATGAAAAAGGGAAACGCTTCATTCTCCGAACTAGAAAAGTGTTTGGACTGCTGCTCCACGGCGGCAAAATATTCTGCAGCTGTTCACCGACACGACCCGCTTCACCCAACGATTTACGATCGTTTCGTTCTCCGAGTTTTTGGTAGCAGCAGCAAGAATTGCGTCCGCGACGACAGGACGAAAGTCTCTCGCAAACTAAAGTCCTGTTGCCACGAAGACAGAGAAGATTCCGCAAGCCCTTTCTTCTGCTTCCAGTGTTGTAGCTCTCCGGTCCACTGGCAGATCTTTCAATCCCACCGAATAAAAAAGGATCTTCTTCTCTCTCTAAAACAACCAAAATATTACTTTGCGACTGTCCAGGCCGGCCATGTACATAGTGCATGCGACGCTGCGGACTTGTGCAGAACATAACATACGTTTTTGCACAGCGGCTGGTGCTAGAATGAGCAGCATGCTTGTACTTCGGATTTTGCGATTTTTTCGAGGGCAATGGGTTCCTTTTGCCTTGCTTGGCTACCTACAATGTACAGTCAACTTCGCTAATAACGACTGCGGATATAATGACAATTCGCGAATAACGACAGAATTTCCATGCCCAGAGCAAAGTCCCATCCCACTGTAGTACATATAATGAGACTTCGGGTATAACGACACTTCGCGAATAAGGACATATTTTTGATGCCCCGCCGAGTGTTGTTATAAGCGAAGTTGACTGTACAGAAAATACCAAAAATACATGAGAAGTATGTTTTTTCAGCTGCAGTGGGGTTGTCGAATAAGTGCTAGGGGAACCCTCCTTTGCTGCTGTAGAGTACTAAAACGTGCCCTGTTAGCCGAAAAATCCTAATTTTTTCTCAGGGGACACCCCCAACTCACAGCCGCCCTGTGACGCCCCATTAGATGGTACGGTACGGGACAGGCACGGGATAGCGCCAGGTATCTTTTCTGTTTGCCCTTCTAGGCTTCTTCCTCGACAGCTCGATCGCCTTTCATCTCTGGTGCGGGTGTAATCTAGTGACTTCACACATGCGTTATAATAGACGAATCTTTTTTTCTGGGTTCGTGAAAAGGGCCACGCGTGCAAGTCAGCTCGTGTGAAGTGCATGTTTTTGTATTTAGTTGGTATGTGGAAGCGTATGGGACAGAGAGACTTTTGCTCCCCGAGCTTGTGTATGTAAATAGTGTTTTACGTCCACCATGACGGCTACAATTCTCAACCATACCTCGACGAATTGATCACCTACATCATTGTACTGCAAAACGTTCCATCTGTTCGAATAGCATGCGTGATGAGCTAGGCAAAAAAGCATACGGTAGGACCCTGAGCGAAATAAATAAACTTTCTCTTTGCATTCGAGGGTAATACGACACCGTCTACCACCTTGATGACCTAGGCAAAAAAAGCATAGGGATGTTATACATTTTTTCATTTCTCCTATTTTTTTTTAAGAACATGACCTGGGATTCGAAACCGCACAATCGCCCTGCATGCATTCCCCCCGATACACTGCGCATACCTACTCATTCTTCCAAGTTTAGGGTTCACGGCTTGCCACTAAAAGCACCCGTCACGTGCGCCTCCATTTTGGATTATGGACGCGCGCTACAGGCCGCGACAGCGCCTATCGAAGTAAAAAAATATCGACTCGAAGTCTAGCCGGAGAGCGTACTTTTTGAATTTTTCCTTGGCTTCAGTGGCTTCACTTCACTCGGGCTTTGCATTTTTCTGACCGACCTGGACTTGATGATGGCGGCGGTGGCGGTCTTGGCGAAAGATCCAGTTCCATCTGAGACACTCTGTCGTCTTTTCTTATCTGCTGAGGTTCTGGCAAAGCGCAGCTGCATCGAACCTGACTAGATGTAGCTGCACGCATCCTTTGTTTGCCCTGCAAATCTCGGTAATCATGCAGTTTAGGGTCCCAAATTATTTCGCACTTTCCCAGTGTTCAGTGTACTGTCACACGCGTTTTCAGTGTACTTTCACATCATAAACTATATTTTCATGAAAACCGAGGACAGATCAGACTGGGTACTGCTGGTGAACACTGCGGAGCAGGGAGCCGAACGTGTTGTCTTCCGCGCGAACTCAGTGTCTCCACACGAA